TTTAGGGTCTAGGGTTCAGGGAACTTAGGGTTCTGGGGAGTACCATGTCATCCCAGTGTCCGTTTCATGTTCCGTCTCCTTTTCTACTTGATTCGAGTTTATTGGGGTAATATCCCTATGTAGGGGTACTTCCACATCCCTAAACCCTAAACCTTAAGCTTAAACCCTGAAGCCTAAACCCTAAACCCTGAACCCTAAACCCTGAACCCGTAATGCTATGCAGTCTGCTTGTTCTTGTTCGGGCCTTTCGGCTGAAGGTCGTCCAAGCAGCCACCAACCTTGCAAAAGGGCTTTACAATCCCTCTCAACCCTGAGATGAGCTATAGTCGAAACTCCTTCAAGAAGGTCATATAAGCGAATATATAGGGGACTACAATAGGGGTATATAAAGGGGGATACTAGCAGTGTAGACTGTGGACTATAGCTCATATAACCCAAGTTTGCATTTCAGTGTCCATATTCTATTCCACTTGACTCTGTTGCCGTGCCCCTTGACATCGTGGAACTGTGCCCAACTCCGAGTCCCGGACCCCTGCATCAACCTCGAATTCGCCCCAAAGGCCATCGCCTTTGCAAATGCACAGCCACACGCAGTACGGTGCGTGGAGTCAAACAACAACCTCTGTAACCAGAGCAAGGGGCAGGCTGCCCTGGGCAGCTGTTGTCGCGGAGGTGACAAGGTAGCTCCCAATGTAGGCGAAGGTCTTGGGAGCAATGGGGGTGACTCCACCATTGGAGTTGGCAGCGGAGTTGACGGTAGGTCGAACATTGGAGATGCCATTGGCGTCGCCGGCGGTGTGGAAGGCACATCGAACATCGGAGATGGCAATGGGGTTGGGGGTGGAGCCTCAATGCTCACAGGAGGCGCTGGCTCTATCTCCGATTGCTTCTGATACTCCTCAGCTTGTCCTTTGCTCTCCTCTTCCACTTCCTCTTGGAAGCTCTGCTCTGGGCTACATGACTCTTTTCTCCCGATAGGGCAGATTGAGTCAAGGATGGCTCCCATCCAGTCATTTGCCACAAAGAAATCGCTGCCCAGATGCGACATGGGGCTCACTGCCCCAGCCGCAAAACTCACTCGCGCATCGTACGGGGGAATACAGGAGGATTCCCCCGTTACCCCGCAGTCACCGCATGCGGGTTTACATCACCGATGCGCGGCCAAACAGCTGCCCAGGCAAGGGCAAGCTTTGACAACTTAACCACTCGCAAGTTTGCTGGCTGTCTGGGCTGCACTTGTTTCATTCTACCGAGAAATGCAAGAGCAAGTGGCATTGTCATTGGGTCTAACCGATGCAAAACAACCTTCTTCCTGTGAGCGTGAACAAGCAGCTGCGAGCCATGGTCGTCCTGGCTGGATAGGGTGTTATAGAGGCTATAAAGGGTTGTTGTCCCAACAATCAATAATCAAGAACCACATGGGAGGGCCAATGGAACATGAAATGGAAACCAGGCTTACGTTAAATACCTCATGTTGCGCTGATGGGCTTGCGATACGCCTACCAACAGCAGAACCCTCTTTTCTCTGTGTAGCCTCCGGTGAGACCTGTTCAGGGAAGGCCATTTGGCCATTAACTGAACGCCTCGTGAAACTTTGCTGAGGGGCAGTATGAGCCCTGGACTAAATTTGTAGTATATCCCTTAATAGGTCCCCCCAAAACCCTATATAGTCCCCTATAGGTCCCCCCCAACCGAAATTGAGTTCGTAGCTCATATACCGCGGGGCATTGTCTTGTGCATTCTGCCCTCCGTGTGAAGTTAGGAGTGCTACTTGACCTCAGCATCAGCATTTGTTCCCAATGAGCCATATGAGCCATAGTCTAAACTCCTTAAAAAAGGGGGTTATATGGGGGAGTATATAGGGGAGTATTCTAGGGGTTATCACCCTAAACCCCCTTCAAGGAATTCAGACTATGGCTCATATGGGTGGTTGTCAAAATTATGGTCCCTTTTTGGGTACCCTAAATATTAGGTGCCGTATTATAATAGGAAGCCAAAAAGGGACCATAATTTTGACAACTACCCATATCCTTTTAACGGACCAAGGCATGAGGCTTCGGCATTCAAGTCCCTGCCGAAGACCTCCCGACTCACCTGCAAACAGGGCTGCGAGCTTCAACTCGGGCCCTAAACCCTAAGCCCTGTTGCCTAAGCCCTTAAACCCTAAACCCCTAGAACCCTAAACCCTAAGCCTCTTCCAAGGGCATAGGGTGACACTTGCCATAGAAGTTCTCCAAATGCTCAACTTCATCGGCGACCTGCAGAATGAAAACCAAAGGACGGGGGTGAGATAAGCAAGTATTCCTGTTCATGCCAATGCAGCGGATCCACTGGAATTGCCCCTATGTCCCATTGCCCCCTTCCAAACTAAGCACAAGCAAGCGTTGCGTAACTGGACAAACTCGCATGCCCAAGCTATTACAATATAGTAGTTTCCATGTACTTTTTCCATTATCCCGAAAAAACCCCAATAAAATCCCTATATAGCCCCAGTATAACCCCAATATAACCCCTAAACCCTTTTTCAACCCGGACTTGAGCGACTGCCGGAAGCTGCCCACTCACCCTGCTCCCGACAAGATCACCCCTTTTGCATCCAGGCCTCTTAGGGGCAAAGCAACACCCACACAATTGAAGAGCACTCATGGCTCCCCCAACAACAATCACCCCTAAACACTAAACCGCATTGCACCAACTAGATGTTGGTAGAGCACCTTCTCTAGCTCGAATCGCAACAAGCGCGCAATGTAGTCGTGATCGTGGACTCTCTTTGTCTGCGGATACCTTGCCAAAGAACACAAAGTAATATGGTATAGGGTTTAGGGTCATTCTACAACCGCCACTCACTGCTAGGATTGGGTGAAGTACTCCGGATCTTGCTGGGCTGCAGTTAAGGAACTTAAATGGATACCATAATAGATCATAGTAGTAAATCATGGGCTTTCCTCATTTTCTTAAAGCAAGTGCCTTAACTCAACAGCAACCCAGATGGTTGCTGTCTCCTGGTCTTCCTCCTAAATACTACAAGTCCTCCACCGATCATGCCTCTTACTACTCCTGCTCTAATCTTCCCACTCTAAATGGAAATATTCAATGGGATCGACCGCAGCCCAGTCACAGTTCCAGCGTGTGGTGCACAACATCCCCATTGAGAACATAGATCATCGTTGGCCTGGGTTGCTGTTAAGGCACTTAAGTTAAGTTACTATATTGGG